CCTCCCTCCCCCTCTCCTCCCTCCCTCTCTCCCTCCCTTCCTCCTTCCCAGCACCTCCCAGCCTGTCTATGATATAAATCAGCGACTTGATTTCAGCCAAGGGAGGAAGCCGCCCGGGACAGGGATGGCCATTTTGCTTCTCCGGAGGCGCTGTGCAGTCTCATCAGAGTTTGCTGGCGCAGACCTCCCTGTTCACAGAGTGCAGCTGTGGGCTGTACATCGGTTCTGCATGGCCAGGCGTGTGATACAGGGAGCACGGCCCTCTGCCTTCCACGGAGCTCCCTCAGTGCGTGAGCCCGTCTGGGTTCATTCTGTGACCGGCAGGAAGGACAGCGCCCTTCAGTATAAAGGAGGCGATGGGGCCCAGGGGAGAGCCCCGGATGCCCACCAGGACTCGGAGGGGAGGGCCAGCTCACGCACTCAGTGCTCAGTGGTTAGGGTCTACGCAGGACCTCCCACCAGGCTCAGAGAGGTCTGCCCAGCATGGCCACTCCAGACTCAGCAGAGCCAACCACCCCGCTCAGAGCACAGCGGGGGAGGCCCCGTGCAACCTGGCTCCCTGCCCGCCCGAAGCTGCAAAGCTCCCCTCACCCTGCCCCCCTTCCCCAGCAGCAGGCCTGGCCATTCATCTGTCAGAACTTGGAGTCCTGCTGAATACATCCTGTTTGTACCACTCGCAGGACTGAAGGTCTGAAGGCAGCTACCCCATAAAGATCAGAGCAGGCAAAACGCAGGATGCTGACAGCCAGGTTCACTGGGATTTATTACAACTGCGCTTTGCTTTCCTGCATTCTTTCCTCCCTGCTTTTAGAGGTGCGTGTGGACCGCTGACGGAACAAACACGGTGCCTCTCTTCCTCCCGGGCGTTCTCGCTCAGCTGCGGCAGGGGCCCGAGGAAGCGGAGAAACTGGCTGGGCCCTGACTCCCTGGTCTGTGGAAGCTGGACCCACCCAGCAAGCTTCTTACACATTTTTCATTTTCAAAGACTTGAATATACGTTGGTGCCCAGAAATGGAGGAGGATGTGTTAGCTCAGACTGCAGGCACAGAACCGTGTAGAAGGGCGGCTTAAACAGCAGACATTTATTCTCACAGTTCTGGAGGCTGGAAGCCCAGGACCCAGGTGCCGCCGGGATGGGGTCCTGGAGGGCTCGCTTTCTGGCTTGCAGATGTCCGCCTTCTGGCCGCATCCTCACAGGGCCTTTCCTCTCTGCGTGTGCGTGGAGAAGGGACGCTCCGCATCTCTTCCGCATCAGTCCTGTCACATCCAAACCCCACTTTTATGACCTCTTTTAACCTTAATTACTTCCCAAATACAGTCACATAGGACACAAACATTCAGTCCATAGCATAGAGCGTTTGGGATGATAAGATGGGGCCACAGCAAAATCTGAGCATTGGAGACCCCCCCAAATTTTTTAATTGAGCATAGGAGACCCCCAAAATATTTTAACTATGAAGAAAATAAAGAAGGACACAGGGCAAGCTGCAGCATCCAGAAGAGACCCCGGCGAGTCCTCACAGCATCCCCATGCCCGCCTCCTGCCCAGCAAAGACAGGTGGCGAGGCACAGAAGGCCCCAGGGCGGGCCCCCGCTCCCGTGCAGCCAGCCGTGTGACCTTGGGCTCGGAGTTAAGGCTGGGAAAGCACGGATTACCCCTGTGCGTGGGATTTCCTTCTTCCAGCCAGCAGTCCTGACACGGCGGCGTCCCTGGGACACCCCGAGCGTGTTCACACACAGCTTCCGATCTGTCCCTCTCATTACCGTTCCTGCCCACAGCCCGGGGGTAACGGTGTGTGCAGGCTTCATTTATTTCACTAAGTGTCTTAATCAGACAGCCCGTCTCAGGAGACAAACGTCGAGCTCTGTGCATCCCAGGAGATTTTTTTTTAAATCTTGCCACTTTTATTTCTTTGCTCCAAAGCCTAGTGGAATCTGTCCTTTATCACGATGGTTCCGTGTGTGACGGGAGCGACCGGGAAACCTAAATGGAAAAGCCTTACAGTGTTGGGTGGCTTTAGATCAAGTCGCGAAGGGAGAGGATTCCACGAAGATGCCCAAAGCCTCTTTCCCATCCCCACCTTCACCTGAAAACGTAGGCTCATTCCTGCTCAGGGAGCCCCAACCCCATCGCTGGCCTTCAGCGCCAGCTCAGCGACCCCTGAGGGTGGGTTCTTTGGGACCCTTCCCAGAGCTGAAGGCCGTGCCCCAGTTTTTCCATGTCCATCTCCCCCACCAGGACAGGGGCCCAGGGCTCAGGGCTGTGTCTGCCCAGCTCCCCTCCGAAAGCCCGGTGCCCAGCATGGGGCCTGGCCCTTGTCCGACTCTCGCCAGTGTTTGTTGAATGAATGAAGGATGTAGCTGTGAGCAGAGAACATCAGCCCTGTGTTCTGGGAAGGGAACTGGGAGCGTCCCACTGTCACCAGCCCCTCGCCGCTTTCTCTTTCCCAGCTCCTGTACGAAGAGTGGGCCAGCTACGGCGTCTTCTATAAGTACCAGCCCATCGACCTGGTCAGGTAAGGGAGAGCAGCCCGGCTCCCCGGGCAGCGGCTGTGGGAGGCAAATCCCCATTTGGATGCCAGTGGGATAAATGACCCCACGTGTGCCAGCTGCCCTGACTGTTCAGTGCCTGGGAACCTGTTTGAACTTGACCCGAGGCCTCCCGGCAGGACCAGCAGCCTTAGTTCCCTGGAGGATGGGCTCTTTCCTCATACTCGCTGTCTCCTCCTAATTTCGCAGCCCGGCCTGACTCTGCCGGGCGGCGGGCCAGGTCCTCGCGTTGCTGTGCTGAGAGGCAGAAAAGAATGTGTCCTCTCCCAGAGGACCTCTGTCCCGAGGGCAGGAAGGGGGTGGACCAGATTCAGCTGTGTGTGTCCTCTGGGGACATGGAGACAGAGCTCAGCCCATGAGCATTCGTCTAAACCCATCACGGCATCCCAGACACTCAGCAGGAGGCGCAGGCCTCTCCTGGTGCCCCCAGGCCAGAGTGCCAGCTCTTAGCTGAACCCGACTCGGAAGGAAACCGGCAGCCTCTCGGGCCATGCATCGTGCCCACCAGCATGCGTATCACAAACACCTCCCCCGGGGCACAGAGAGAGGGGGCGGACGTAGGGAAAGCAGAGAGCACCCCCAAACCTGGTAGCCTGGCTCAGAGCCCCGCCCACTCTCTACTTCCTGGCCCAGAGAACCAGGCGCCCCTTTGAGCTGTTCCCTGCAGGGGAGGGGACGGGACTTGTCTCCCAGGGGTGCAGAATGAGTGAGCTTGTCTCTCTGGCTTTGCCCGCGATGCAGGAAGTACTTTGGGGAGAAGATCGGCCTGTACTTCGCCTGGCTGGGCGTGTACACCCAGATGCTCATCCCCGCCTCCATTGTCGGGGTCATCGTTTTCCTCTATGGATGCGCCACCGTCAATGAAAACATCCCCAGGTAGGCGGGGCCTGTCCCAGGACACGCCCATCTCTGCGAACAGCTGCTGGCCTCCTTGGCCTCAGGCCCCGGAACCTTCCGCACCCACACTCAGCCCATGCTGGCCGTGTGCTGTCAGGGCGGGGGCCCGCTGCAAGGGGCGTAATTGCCATCTGAAGGCCGGGCATCCTTTTCGGGCACAAATGCCCTAGGAGCCGTTTTACTGTCGAAAGCAGACAGGAAACAAAGCTCCTTTTCTTCCTCTGAAGTTTTCTTTCCCCTTTTAGTTCTCAGTCCTCAGGTGACAGGAAATCCCCTGCCTCCTGTGAGGTTGGGACATGGGACAAATGCCATTCATGGGCCTCGGGCAGGTAACTCAGCCGGGTCTCTCTCCGCCTCGACCCCGGGTCTCGGGAGGTGAGGCATGAACAGCAGACCAGGCCTCTGCACGCGAACCCACGCTCCTGCTGCCGTCTACCACGGTCAGGGCAGGCTGGGCACTAGGGAGAAGGCCGAGACTCTAGGGGCAGCCGGGCCTCGTGCTGGGGGGAGGAGGGAGGTGTCTCCCAGAGTGACAGCCAGAACGTAAGTCAAATCGCACGAGCTCAGAGGACCCTGTCTGCGTGCACAGAGCTTGGAGGACCCTGTCCCGTGTGCACAGAGCTCAGGGGACCCTGTCTGCATGCACAGAGCGTGGGGGACCCTGTCTGCATGCACAGAGCGTGGGGGACCCTGTCTGCATGCACAGAGCGTGGGGGACCCTGTCTGCATGCACAGAGCGTGGGGGACCCTGTCTGCATGCACAGAGCGTGGGGGACCCTGTCTGCATGCACAGAGCGTGGGGGACCCTGTCTGCATGCACAGAGCGTGGGGGACCCTGTCTGCATGCACAGAGCGTGGGGGACCCTGTCTGCATGCACAGAGCGTGGGGGACCCTGTCTGCATGCACAGAGCGTGGGGGACCCTGTCTGCATGCACAGAGCGTGGGGGACCCTGTCTGCATGCACAGAGCGTGGGGGACCCTGTCTGCATGCACAGAGCGTGGGGGACCCTGTCTGCATGCACAGAGCGTGGGGGACCCTGTCTGCATGCACAGAGCGTGGGGGACCCTGTCTGCATGCACAGAGCGTGGGGGACCCTGTCTGCATGCACAGAGCGTGGGGGACCCTGTCTGCATGCACAGAGCGTGGGGGACCCTGTCTGCATGCACAGAGCGTGGGGGACCCTGTCTGCATGCACAGAGCGTGGGGGACCCTGTCTGCATGCACAGAGCGTGGGGGACCCTGTCTGCATGCACAGAGCGTGGGGGACCCTGTCTGCATGCACAGAGCGTGGGGGACCCTGTCTGCATGCACAGAGCGTGGGGGACCCTGTCTGCATGCACAGAGCGTGGGGGACCCTGTCTGCATGCACAGAGCGTGGGGGACCCTGTCTGCATGCACAGAGCGTGGGGGACCCTGTCTGCATGCACAGAGCGTGGGGGACCCTGTCTGCATGCACAGAGCGTGGGGGACCCTGTCTGCATGCACAGAGCGTGGGGGACCCTGTCTGCATGCACAGAGCGTGGGGGACCCTGTCTGCATGCACAGAGCGTGGGGGACCCTGTCTGCATGCACAGAGCGTGGGGGACCCTGTCTGCATGCACAGAGCGTGGGGGACCCTGTCTGCATGCACAGAGCTCAGAGGACCCTGTCTGCGTGCACAGAGCTTGGGGGACCCTGTTTGCATGCACAGAGCTCAGAGGACCCTGTCTGCGTGCACAGAGCTTGGGGGACCCTGTCTGCATGCACAGAGCTTGGGGGACCCTGTCTGCATGCACAGAGCTTGGGGGACCCTGTCTGCATGCACAGAGCTTGGGGGACCCTGTCTGCATGCACAGAGCTTGGGGGACCCTGTCTGCATGCACAGAGCTTGGGGGACCCTGTCTGCATGCACAGAGCTTGGGGGACCCTGTCTGCATGCACAGAGCTTGGGGGACCCTGTCTGCATGCACAGAGCTTGGGGGACCCTGTCTGCGTGCACAGAGCTTGGGGGACCCTGTCCACATGCACAGAGCTTGGAGGACCCTGTCCCGCATGCACAGAGCTTGGAGGACCCTGTCTGCATGCACAGAGCTTGGAGGACCCTGTCCCATGTGCACAGAGTTCAGGGGACCTTGTCTGCATGCACAGAGCTTGGGGGACCCTGTCTGCGTGCACAGAGCTTGGGGGACCCTGTCTCCGTGCACAGAGCTTGGGGGACCCTGTCTCCGTGCACAGAGCTTGGGGGACCCTGTCTCCGTGCACAGAGCTTGGGGGACCCTGTCTCCGTGCACAGAGCTTGGGGGACCCTGTCTCCGTGCACAGAGCTTGGGGGACCCTGTCTCCGTGCACAGAGCTTGGGGGACCCTGTCTCCGTGCACAGAGCTTGGGGGACCCTGTCTCCGTGCACAGAGCTTGGGGGACCCTGTCTCCGTGCACAGAGCTTGGGGGACCCTGTCTCCGTGCACAGAGCTTGGGGGACCCTGTCTCCGTGCACAGAGCTTGGGGGACCCTGTCTCCGTGCACAGAGCTTGGGGGACCCTGTCTCCGTGCACAGAGCTTGGGGGACCCTGTCTGCATGCACAGAGCTTGGAGGACCCTGTCCCGTGTGCACAGAGCTCAGGGGACCCTGTCCCGCATGCATAGATGTCTCCCCTCCTTTCTAGTTATTCCTAGACCTGCCAACACCAGCCCCAAGACAACCAGGTTGTGTGTGAGGACGAGAGGCTGCTGTACCCATGGGCAAACTCAAGTTTAGAAGGGCAGGGCCCCCTGGCCCTGCCTCCCAGCAGCTCCCAGTCTCTCTGGAAAAGCCCTAAGACATCAGCTCAGTTCCATTTCCTACGGCTCAGCCCCGAGTCTCGGAAGCCGAGCTGTGGCTTGGGAAGTGCGCCCACCGTCCATTCAGAAAAGAACCCGTGGGCCTGTGCCTGGCGAGGAGGTGGCTCGTAGGGCCCACAGCCCAGTGAACCTCGCATAAATGTTTAATATGTGAATGACACCTCAAACATGTGTCAGTGTTCTTACACACGGATAACACCGAAGATCCACCCACTCAGGATCTAACGGTTAGGGGAACCGGCTTACGTGGGGCACAGGCGGGAGAAAGCTTACCCTTTGTTTGCTAATGTGACGTGAGGTCACTGTGCTTGGGTGTGGCTGTGGCGAAGATGAAAGTGGCCTAGGTGGGGCGGGGTTCGGATTCTAAAGCCCTGTGGGACCTGGCCAGTGGAAGCCGGGGCGCCCTCACGGTCCCCCTGGGAGGCTGCAGAGGACGTCACCTTCCCTCCCCCCTGCAGGGGATGCGGAGCCAGCTGAGGCGCTGCCCAGACAGGCGTGCATTCCCCAGCAAGGGCGCAGCCATCTCCCAGGCCAGGCCAGCGCCTCCCCCTCCCACCACACAGCCAGAGGCAGACGGCGCTTACCAGGGATTCCTGAGTCCCCTCGGACCTCAGCCCATGATGTGGGCATGTTCCCCCGGGGAGGGGGGTCTGATCTGCCCTTTTACCCCCTCCAAGGACAAGCCATCCCATTCCTTGTCTTTATTTTGGCTGAAAGTGGTGAAGGGAGTGGCAGAGGGTTTAAAACTGGCAGAAAACAGGCTTTTAGTCTGGCTGGCGTTAGCGCTGGCAGGGAGGAGGGCTGTGGCAGCCACAGGGCTCACAACAGGCAGAGATGCGGCCAGCCCTCCCTGGGGCGTCTGCCCCCCTCACACGTGGGTTCCTTCTGCCTCCCAGCAGAGGCCCCCAGAAGACAGGAAGCTCAGGGAGGGGCAAGGGATAGACCCCTCAAGGCGGCCCATGGGCCTCCGTTCAAAATCACTGCAGCTGCTCAGTGCCTGGTTATTCCCGTAACAGGAGTGTGGTGTGCGCGTGCCAGCTCTGTTCCAGGGCTCCACGCTCGCTCTGTGTGATCCTCCTGACAACCCAGCAACGTGGGCACTCTTTACTCTCAGCATCCCCACGCTGCAGATGGGGAAACTGAGGCCCAAGGAGTTGGAGTAACATGCCCGAGGGCACACAGATCCCAGCGGTGGGGTGAGATTCCAATCCAGTGCTGGCTGGCTGCACGCGGCCCCGCCACCGGCATGCACCCACCCCTCACGCACACACACACACACACACACACACACACACACACATGTACACGCATGCACAATTCCCCAGCTGCCTCGAGCCAGCAGCCTCGGTCACCAGGCATCTTCCCATCCCCCGGGCCCAACACAGAGCGGAGCACATACAGCACATGCACATTCTCTAATAAGCATTTGGTGAGTAACTGAAAGGACAGAATGGGGCCGGAGTGCCCACTGTGCCGGGAAGAGAACCATTCAGCAGAAGTTTACTAGACACCCACCGACGGCCATGGGCCAGCTGTGATTCGGTGCATAAAGTCGTGCATTAGAAATTCAAAACAAAGAGCAGTACCCCCGCCCCCAGCCTTCTCCCTGGGAGTGACTGCTGCCTGGGTCACTGAGAGCTCCGCATCTTGTCCAAGTCAGTGGGGAGGAGGGCAAGGCAGGCCAGAGCTGGGCCCTCCCCTCATCTCCCAGAAGGTTAAAGGGCCTGGCCAGGGGCACCGTGGCCGGGCTGGGCGAGGCAGTCCTTGTGGGCCGGCGGAGGGCTCTCAGCGGCTCCCTCTTCCAGCATGGAGATGTGTGACCAGAGCCACAACATCACCATGTGCCCGCTGTGCGACAAGACCTGCAGCTACTGGAAGATGAGCTCGGCCTGCGCCACCGCCCGGGCCAGCCACCTCTTCGACAACCCGGCCACCGTCTTCTTCTCCATCTTCATGGCTCTCTGGGGTGAGCAGAGCGCCGCGCCCCCACCCCACCCCCGGGCCACTGGGGCACAGGTGACATGGGGTAGGTCCCTAATTTCCTTCTTGGGACCGCCCACAGGCAGCACATGCCGGGGATCATGAACACGGAGGGAGGTCGTGGAAATAACCCCCCGCTTTACCTGCAGTTCCCAGGGTCTCCGCTGCGTCCACTGCAGCTGCAGTTATTCTGACCCAGCCCGGAACCCCTGGGGAAAAGCCCAGGAGGGTGCGTTGCCCTTAGAAACAGGACCTCCCTCCTGGGACCAGGGTCTGTTGGCCCAGGGAGGCAGCTGCTTTAGCGCAGGAGGCCTGGGCTCTGCATTCCTCCGGCCGGAGCCAGCCCTGGGGCACGTGTCTCCTTAGACCCTTGCAGGTCCTGTAGGTGCCGCGTGCCTCTTTCACAGGTATGGAAGCCATGGCCACTGAAATGCCAGGTCTAGGAACTGAGCCCCCATCTCCCTGAGCTCTGGCCCCTCCACTCCTCCCCACCCATCCCCCGCCTCTCTGGATCCTGTGTCCATGGAGAACCATCCCCCCGCCATCCCCCTCATCCCCAGCCTGCTGGCCCTCCTCAAGACCTCAGCACCGGTCAGCTCTCTGCCCACTCCCCTCCTCTGACCTGGACCCAGGAAGCACAGCGAGCTCGGCCCGCACAGACCGCCGGCCTAACCATTGGGCTAATTGGATAACTCGGCTGGATTGGCCATGTCCTAGGATAGGGCCCCTTCCTGGGCCAGACTCCGGTTTCGTGCCCAGCTCTGTCACCTCCAAGCTGGGACCTCAGGTCTCCCTTTGTACAGTGCAGATAGTGCTGGTCCCCAGCTGAGTTGTTGGAAACCTCGAGTGCATCATCGTGACGACCTTTGGGCCATACCGAGAGCTGGCTGTGATGTCCTGCCAGCTGGCACACCAGTTCCATGCCCATTTGCTTTGTGAAAACAGCCTAGACTCTAGAAATTAGAGCCAAATCTGACCTCCCCGCTTTTGCTTGGGGCCCTCGTGAGTCCTGTCACTTCACCTTCAGAAAGGAATGCGAGCTTCAGTGAGCTGGGCCCCGCTGGGCCAGGCGCTGTTCTAAGCGCCTCACGGGAGGTGGTTCATCATTCCCCCCGTGGCTATAAGAGGTACTACCTCCATTGCCCCATTTGACAGATGGACACACTGAGGCAACTTTCCCAAACAGACACCACTAATAAGAGGCAAAGGGAGACGAGAACCCAGCATCTGCTCCCCAATACTCCACCCCTGGGCTCTGCCCCCTCTGCTGGTGTCACTCACAGCTCTGGTGCCAGGCACACTTAGCACCTGCCTGGCTCGTTCCTGACGGGACCAGCTCGCATTTGTGCTGGACTGGCTTCCTCCTCTGCCCACCACTCCTGCCTTCCCCTCCAGAGCCTGCGCTGAGGACTGACTATGCCAGGCGCAGGCAGGGGCTCTGCACAGCTTATCTCAGTGACCCCACCACAGCGCACAGCAGAGGGAGGCTCTGTTCATATTCTCTCATGAGGACACTGAGGCCCAGAGAGGTTAAGTGACTTACCCAAGATCACACAGCTCATAGACTCATACCAGACATGACAGATCCATGCCCCAGTCACACCTCCCCACCCCAGCGTCCTCCAAGCCCTGCTCTGTGCCCTCCTGCAGGAGCCGAGGTTCACCCAGAGCGGTAGAGAGGGCACTCAGGCAGCAGCACTGCTCGGCCAGGCAGCACCACAAGGTTTCGGTTAAATCCAGTAAATCCGGTGCAGCCCCTTTTCTGCCGCCAGCTCGCTCACTTCACACTTGTTTATTGAGCACCTACTGTGTGCAAGGCAGTGCTGCTTCACACCCTCAAAGGTGTTGGCCAGCCCTCACCAACAGCCCATCCTTGCGGGGAAAACATATGGTTCCATCTGCACCACCACCACCACCACCCCCAGGAGGGAAAAGGGCAAATCTGTTCCGCTGTCTGCCCCGCCTCCTCCAGCTCCACTTCCCCCCAGGAGACAAGTGCCTGTCAGAGAGTGTCTGTCAGAGAGTCAAAAGCAAGTTCAGTCTACACTTTCCCACCTGGGGGGAATAACAGAAAAGCCAAACCACTCCCATGAAGCACTTACTTCAGGGAAAAAGGAGGTTATTAGAAATCAAGACAGAAGCCATGGGAAAGAGCCTGCTGGGCGGAGAGGTGTGTGTGCCCTGTGCGGCCGCACCACACAGGATGGGGAGGGGGGGGGGGGGGGGGGGGGGGGACAGTCCCTCTGTCCCCTGGCCTTGCACTGCTGGTTTTTTAATCCTCTGTCAATTGTTTCTTCATTGCCCTCTCAGGGATCACCTTCCCACTGCTGCTTCATCCCACTGTGTCCTTTCTTTTCCGTTCCCCAGCTTCTAACGTTTCTGCTCACACAGTGACAGAGAGCGGCCCCAAACCTGTTTCTGCTGGGAGGGGTTCAGGCTGTGCCCCCGGAGGAATGGCTGCTGGCCCGCGGTTCTAATCTCGCTTCCACGCTACGGTGGGGTCCGACTTCCCTGGGGCTGACACTCTGGGCCCAGAGACCTCAGCTCCCTGCTGCCTGGAATTTATGACATTTCAAAACCTCAAATTAGGCGTCGCACACAGCAACTTTGAGCCCCATTTAGCTGTTCTCCAGGATCAATTTTCTGAAATGATGGCATAATAATGGGTTTTAACTGCCTGTCACTTTCGTGCAGAACAAAGGAAGTAATTAGATTTGAGCCCGGCCCCAAGAAGCCGGAGGACGATGGTCCCTGCTTGAATGAAATGGCAGAGGCAGGGCTGAACCCCCTTCCCCGGGGTCGGCGTGGAGTGGGCAGGTGACCCGGCTGAGTCACCCTGGGCTGGAGGGACACAGGGAGAGCTACACTGTGGTTTCCTCTGGACTCAGGGAGGCCGTGGAGGGCTAGGGCCTTCGTGCCTGGCCCCCGTCCCCACAGGGGCTGATAGGCAGGGTCCCGTCTGCTCCTCCTCTCTCAGAAAACGGATGTGCGTTGAGCAAACGTGTGACTGTTGGGAGCCACCGTTCATATAGCTGGTCGCTGCTCTCAGGGGGCTGCACTTTAAGGAGGATGCAGCCCTGCCCTATGGAGTCTGGGTGATGGAGCCCAGAGGTTTGGGAGACAAGACCCCGGCCCCTAGGAGCGCGGACCTCCCCAGGGAGGCAGGCAGGTCTGCACGCAGCGGCAGAAGCACCCAGACCAGCCAGAGCCTCGCCTGGTGGCCTGAGACTCCAGCGGCAGGTCTGAGAGGCTCTGCTGACGCACCTGGCACAACAGTCGGCGGGGAGGCCGCACCCGGGCATCTCCCGGGGCCTGCAAGGTCACAGCAGCAGCGTTCAGGGGTGTGCTCGGGAAAGGGCTCTGGTAGCCCTCGGAGGAGGCATCCAGAATTAGGGAAATTGGAGGCAGGCCCAGGCAGGAGGCAGTGGGGACACGGCAAGACAGGGCCCAGGGTGAGGGTGGATGTGGGCTGGGGGGAAGCTGAAACAGAAGGCAGGCCCAGGCGGGAGGCAGTGGGGACACGGCAAGACAGGGCCCAGGGCGCGGGTGGATGCGGCCTGGGGGGAAGCTGAAACAGAGGCCTGGGGTGTGGGGGTGGGGGACGAGCGTTAAGCAGCCACTCATCGCTGGGCAGGGATGGGTGGGAGGAAGGACAGGCGGTGGTAGGTCAGTATGTCTGCATGCCCCGGGCCCGAGTGCCACCGCACAGCTTGTTCCGAGCATGGGCCCCAGGGATCTGCATTTTAACAAGCTCCCTGGGGGACTCTGATACCGCAGAACCCAGGCCCACGCTCTGAGAAACCCCAGAGGGAAACGGTCCATTTTCCCTGCCTTCCAGGTGTGGCAGGTGACCAGCCGGGGAATCCGTCCTTGTCCTGTGATTTGATGCCATCTTAATGCCACCACTTGTCAGACCAGCCATTTAATTCCTCTGGGCCTCAGTTTCCTCTGAAAAAGGGAGAGAGAATAGCACCTCCCTCCTGTGATGACTGGGAGGTTGATTAATACTTTACACGACAGCCCTTCATATAGGCCTGACGCGGGACAGCTCGACCTTTGCATGCACCCGAGCTTCCTTCCTGGGGAGAAGCGTTAAGGATAAAGGGTGCAGCCAGCATCTCCGGTTGCAAGCTGTGTGCTCATGAACGCCGTCCGCTCATTCAGTGAGCACCCTTGAGCTCCTGCACCCCGCCCCCAATAGAAGGGCCCCTTGACATGGGACGGGGATCATAATGGAGGGCAGTGTGGACACCGTGAGCGGGAGAGGCCCCAGGAGGAGTTAGTTTCTTTCTGATACAAGAGGAGGATCGGGGGCTTCCTGGAGGAGGCGGCATTTGAACTATGCTTAATCTGTTGGAAATGCGAAGCAGGAGGTCGCACCTAAGAGTGCAGCCCAGCAGCCAGACCACCTGCAAGGGTTTGAAGCTTGAGTGTGTGTTCTTGGCTCTCCCCTCACGCTTTCTGACCTGGGGGTCCCCAAGATCGATGGAACAGGACGGTTAAGAGCCCAGGCTCTGGGGCCAGCCTGGGCTGGCCCCTCACTGGCTGGATGAGTAACCTTGGCCAGGACTTGATTTCCATGTGCCTCAGTTTCTTCATCTGTAAAAGGGGAATGGGACGTCTCTGCCTCAGGGTGGGCGGGAGGGCAGACAGGGTTCATTCCTGTGACGTTCTTGCCCAGCACGATGTCACCCTCACTCACCAAATAGTGCAGAAGCAAAGAATGCATTTGTGCCATCCGGTGTCTCAGGGCTGCTCGGCCCTGACTTTATGGTTTTCCTCCCTGCCTGCAGCCGCCACCTTCATGGAGCACTGGAAGCGGAAACAGATGCGTCTCAACTACCGCTGGGACCTCACAGGCTTCGAGGAGGAGGAGGTGAGTGGGGGGCACTGCGTCCTCCCCTGCCCCCACCCATTACCTCCTGGGGACGCTCCTGGAAGCCTGAGGCCCTGGGGCCCAGGCAAGGCTGCTCCCGCCTGCTTCTCGGTTCACATCCCTGGTGTTTGAATCACCCGCGGTTGCCAGGGCGACGGTTTGATGTCTGTCGAGTGTTTCTGATCTCCATGCTCACATGGACGCACCGCCCACCAGTGCGGTCAGGGACAGCTCACCACGCTGACCTCATCGAATGCGGGGGAGGCCGGGCGAGTCTGGGAGGGAATCACCACCGCCCAGGAGGCCGAGTCCCCAAAGGCGGCTGTGAGCCTTTGCCCCGGAGCCAAAGCCACGCTCCTCAGTGCCAGTTACGGGGCGTGACTGACAAGTGGGAGCCGAGCCTCTCCCAATAGAGGGAAAGCCAGACGCCCGCATCCCCGCTTCCCCAAGACGGCCCAGGGCCACGGGGACGGCGGAGGACACTCTCCGGAGGTTCCTCGGAGAAGCCTGGCCGCTGCCCTCCGAACGGGCAGCTCCCGCCGGCGTCCCCACGGGAAGAGTGAGCAAGACACGGAAAAGCAGTCCCCACAGCCTGCCGCCCGCCGAGCAGAGCTGTAAGGTGTGGCCACCTCGCCGCCACTTAATTTTATAAGACGCCGAGCTTGTCTTTTAGAAGCGAGCTCTCATGCATGTTCACTGGATGTGGAATCTCCCCCATCGTTTTTTAGCATTCCATCGTTCTCCCCACACATGCTCCCCCTGACACTGAGTCTGCCCGCCAGTCTTCAGCCGAGCCTACTGCAGTCAGGGAGCTGGTGGGCGGGCTCTGTGCTCCCAGCGCTGCTGGTGGCCGAGGGGACTGGAGTCTGCGGGGAGAGGCACCGCAGGGCTTCCATCCTGGTTTGGCACTGCCCTTGCTGTGTGACTGAGGCCAAGTTGCCTAACCTCTCTGTGCCTCAGTGTCCTCCCTTCTTAAATACGGAGTGTGAACTAGTTCTCACTCTAGAGCAGTGGTTCTCAACCTTGGCTGCACATTAGAATCACCTGGGAGTCTTTTTTAAAATCCTGATTTCTGGGCCTCATCCTCCGGAAATTCTGTTTCTTTGTTATGGGGTGGGGCCACAACATTAGTAATGAAGAAACAGAATTTCCGGAGGATGAGGCCCAGAAATCGGGATTTTAAAAAGATTCCCAGGTGATTCTAATGTGCAGCCAAGGTTGAGAACCACTGATATAGAGGGTTTGAGGGGGTCTCCATGGATAAGAAGCACTTAGGCAGGGAGGGCCCCGTACCAGTAAGTGCCCCAGACCGGTCACCCGCTAGCCGCCTCTGAGCTCAACCCTCTTAACCCAGGGGACCCCATTATCTGTCTCACACATGGCGACGCCAGAACAGGTGCAGCCTGTTCACCGACAGGCAGCCCTTCATGGGTGAGCCAGGCCCGGAACCTCCCCCTGGGCAGGTTCTTTCCTTGTTACTGTTTCAATTAGGAAGATGCAAGCACAACACAAAGCAATCGCCGTCTTATTTTAGAAGAAGATTGAGAATGTCCTTTTTCATGATGTCCCTCTGGTTGGGGAAAGTTGGGGAGGGGGCCAGTCCTGTGTGTTCAGCCCCTCGGGGATCCATCCCATGATCTCTTCACCTGCCCCCCACCCCCAGCACTTGACTTGGGGGTGGCAGTCGGAGCCCTTGGGCATGAGGCCCCAGGGGACTGAATGAGGTCCTCAAGGTGAGTCTCCCCGTCACCTCCCTCCCCCCATAGCTGACCAGGGACCTTTTGGGAGTGAATCTGAGGGGTAAAGGCAGCCTCTCCCTGCAGTCTGAGCTCCCGGCGTTGGCCCTGGGAGCAGAAGGAGCCCGTGTACCCCTTAGCTGAGACCGACACAGTCCAGCACCCGCCTGGGAATTCCCAAAATCGCTCAAGCTGCAAAAGCAACAGCACGCACGGTCACCCTAAAGCAGGGGTCCTCAAACTACGGCCCGCGGGCCACATGCAAATACAAATATTGTATTTGTTCCCATTTTGTTTTTTTACTTCAAAATAAGATATGTGCAGTGTGCACAGGAATTTGTTCATAGTTTTTTTTTAAACTATAGTCCGGCCCTCCAACGGTCTGAGGGACAGTGAACTGGCCCCCTGTTTAAAAAGTTTGAGGACCCCTCCTCTAAAAGGACAGTGATGTCAGTGACGCACAAGCCTACAACTGTGAGGTAAATTCAAGAAGAGAAGTCAGTACCGGCCGGTGTGGCTCAGTGGTTGAGCATTGACCTATGAACGATAGTTTTTTTTTTTTTTAACTATAGTCCGGCCCTCCAACGGTCTGAGGGACAGTGAACTGGCCCCCTGTTTAAAAAGTTTGAGGACCCCTGCCCTAAAGCAACGACGACCGCTAGCGGGTCTCGGACCCCAGGTGCTCCTTGTCCACCCGTGTCCTTCACCCTCATCCCAGCCCTTAAGAAAATTGTCTTTAGTTTAGAGGACGTGGCCTATTTCTTTAAAAACAACACAAGTAATGGAGTCTTTTCTGTTTGTTTTCATGTTTATGTTTCTGGTTCCCTGAAGGAGGCCGTCAAGGTTTGGAACTTTTTGTCACTCCCCTGTCTCCCCATAGCCTGTCTCCCGGGAAGAGGGATCTTCTCACGCCTCATCTGTCTCTTTCTACCATCAGGCCTCCGCAGCTCCTCCACCGCGGGCGGGGTCTCCGCTTCTCCCCACCTTCGGGTCTCTCTTAACCCCGTTCTTCCGTTCCAGTGCCCTCTGCTGACCTGCTCCGGGCTCCCCCGAGGCCTGGCGCCTCCGGTCTGCCCGCGCTTGCTGACACTTACTGCGTCTCTCCTGACCCCAGTAGACGTTCTCGGGGCCAATTCACAGCTGGGTGTTCAAAAGGAGGCCACTGGGCACTGATTTGCTGCCAGCAGCACCCAGAGCCAGGTTCTCTGGCCTTCCCCACGGGCTGGGTTCCCAACAAGGGGTGGATCCCAGACAGACCGCGTGTGGCGCGTTCTGAATTGGAAGTGGTACAAAACAGCCAGCTATGAATTGGCCCCAAAGGGTGCCCAGCGCGAATGGGTGGACTGAATTTGGCATGCGTGCTCAAGGTGAGGATCTCAAACTCACAGTTCACAGGCCAACTTGGTTTCTTCCACAGGACCATCCCAGAGCTGAGTATGAAGCTAGAGTTTTGGAGAAGTCACTTAGGAAAGAATCCAAGAACAAAGAGGTACGTACGTTGGCCACTTCTTCTGGCTTTCCCAGCAATAAAACATTGTGTGTTCATCAACAGTGTAGACCGGGGCTCAGCAAGCACCATATGTTCAACAGTGTAGACTGGGGCTCAGAAAACTCTGTATGTTCAACAGTGTAAATCAGAAGCTGGCCCGCGAGACAGAGAAATATTTAGACTCTGCAAGCCTCTGTCACAACTACTCAATTCTGCCACTATGGCTTGAAAGCAGCCATAGACAGCAGGTAAACAAATGGGCCTGGCCCATTTGTTCCAATAAAACTTTATTTATAAAAACAAGTGGCGGGGGGCGGGGGGCAGATTTGGCTGCAGGCTGTAGTTTGTCAAACCTGCTGTAGCTCTACCTTCTTGATCTATCCTGAGCGTGACCTCAAGCTTGAGCCAGCATTTTAACATCAAGGACCAGGTAGCTTTGCAGCTTTCTCGCAGTACACTTGACATTCATTGTGTCCACCTCACTGTGTTCTGGGTTGAAGGATGAAATGGAAGGGATTGCTCAACCAGCCATCCCTGAACAAATGGCCAGTTCCTTGTTCCACTCACAGACAAGGAGGATGAGAGAGAGAGAGGTGGGTTTTAGTGATGTCCTTGAGGCCATCATCTTCTCATAATACATGCCTTTCTTTCTCCCCAAACCTGTCATTCGAGTTGGTAGTCTGACGTGTGCAGCCTGAACGCTCACAAGCTCTAGAGTGTTGGGTTTTTTGCGAGGGAGGTGTTTGTACATGGCTGGGGCCGCACAGAGCCCTGGGCCCTTGTCAGCCTCTGACCGTGGCTGGGACCTTCGCATCATGCCTGTGGGACGGGGACAGTTGACAGATGCTCATCCCAGCTCCAGTGTCTGCTGTCGCCTTTGCACACTCAGCCTCTGGAGCTGATCAGGACAGTCCCCCAGTCTTTCCTGGTCGTTGTGTCACATGGGCAGAGTTTTCTGGTTCCGAGTGGCTGGGGGTCGAAATCGCCAGCATCCCATCTAGGGGGTAAGATGGGTGCACCACAGCCCCCTCTCGGGCCCGTTTCCATGACAGCAGAATCCAGCTTAGTCCTCTTGTAGTCACAAAGAGGGTGCACTCTTTGAACACACTCTTACAGTCTGAGCAGGACTCGGGGTGCAAAAATATAACCACAAAAGCATGAGCCATCACCCCAGATCGGGAGATTGTCTTCAGTTGGACCGATCAGAAGGTGTGACACCCCCATGCACGGTGCCTTCTGAGCAGCGACCTGTGGCCTTGAGCGGCTCCTTTTCCCCTCCTGGGCCTCGGTTTCCCCTCCTAAAGGGAGAGGCGTGATGCCAGCGCGCTCAGTGCGGCATCTCGGCCACGGTGGCCCAGGACAGTCCATCCCATGGCTTCACAGTGGCACCTGTGAGCGTGAGCAGGGATGGGTGTTGCATTCCCTCCTAAGGGGGAAAAGGGCTTTGTGGCACATGTCATGTCTGTGTAAGTCCAAGGACTTAACCAACCCCAACAGTGGGTCTGGAGGGGTGTCAGGAGTGCCCCTCAGACCCCCAGTCACTCCCCCTCTGGGCTTTGACCAGAGATCTCAGATCACATGAGAACAAGGTATGGGGTGATTTCTGCAGGCTGTTGGGGGACCCCAAGCCCTGTTTGCCCCTGGGGGGCCACACCCTTTATTTTCTCCTCCATTTCATTGGCTCCCAGCGGCTCCTTTATGGTTTTCGTTTCCCCCGCAGCTGAGGCTCCAGATTCACTTAGGAAAACACAATCCACCCCTTACAACTCTGGGCATGGCCTCCTTAGTGTTGGCATCGGGCGCTCAGCACACGCGGCGTCTTTGCATAAGCGAACCCTGTAGATCACAGCAGCCGGTTGGCGAGTCGGGCATTACCGAGCCCCGCGGGCTTCCGTGCTGGGGTCTCGGTCTGAAGCCTGGTCTGCGCTCCCTCCCCCCTGGTCTCAGCCTTGCTGTCAGGACGGGGTCCCTGCCAGCTCCTGTGGTTGGCAACACCCAGAACCTGGACCAGCCTCGGCGGCAAGCACACCACGGGGTGACGGGGGCCTGGGCCAAGGTCACACCTCACCCCGTGGTGCTCTCTTGTTCCCTCCCCCCTCCCCTTAGAAGCACCGGAATACTCCAGAAGAGTCAACAAACAAATGGAAGCAGAGGGTTAAGACAGCCATGGCGGGGGTGAAATTGGTACTTTTCTGTGTTGGGGCGATGCGAGTCGTGACTGTTTGCGACGACCAAAGTCCATTGCGTCCTCCTCAACCAACTCTGACTTTTGTGTTGGTTTTGTCTTTTTTTTAACATTCACGTTCGTGCTTCCTCTCCTCCTGCCACCCCCAGCGAGCTGCGACGTGTGCGGAGGTGTCACTGCATGGCTACGGAGGGCTGGGGGGCGCGGGGACCTGTGATCTGTGCTTGTCACCACTGCCTGCCAGCGGTCTCGTCTTCTCGTTAACACGCATGTCACCCGCCCCGGAGTGAGGGCCTCCCGGGTCCTGTCCGCGGCAGCATTCCTTGTCCGAACACTTGCGCTTCCCATTTAAAAGCCCACCCCGGTTCTTGAGACATCCCGGGTTGGTCACAGGCTTCCACCTAGGGCTCCTCCCCACCCAGAGAGCCTCCAGGCGCCTGTCGCCGCGGGTCGCCGCGGTCCGCTGCTGCTACGCGGCAAGCAGCATTGGAACGTGTCGTGCGGGCTGCCTGTTTCGACTTGCTCTGCAAAGGAAAATAACTATTATGGTCTGGGCGGCGGAGGGCAGAGCACCTTAGATCTTCTCGCCCCAGACGTGAGACCTTCCGCCGAAGAAATGGGGTCCAGACACGCTTCTCCCCGACGAGGGTCTGACGGTCTGATTTAGAAAAGGGTTTGACACTCTCATCATTACTGCTGTTGTCATCGCACAGAGGAAGCCCACGTTAAACGAGTTCCCTCTGTCATGACGTGACATCATTTCCTAGGTCACGGGACCCCAGCTGTTTCTGTGAACACTAGACGTTTGCATCCACTCGAACTGTAAATGTTTTTTTTTTAAGGTGTTTCTAAGTATTTCTGTTGTCCGAGTTCACGCGCACACACGCGCGCACACACACACGCACATATGTGCACACATGCACACATACACAACGCACGCCTCCCCACCCGGGTGGTTCACACGGGTGACCCGCGTTGTTCCATGTTGCAGACTGACAAGGTGAAGCTGACCTGGAGAGACCGGTTCCCCGCCTACTTCACCAACTTGATGTCCATCGTCTTCATGGTAAGTTCCGGAAGGCCGAGGCGGGAGGACGCCGGGGAGCCCACACCCGGACGGGGGTCAGCCGTCACTGTGGCAGGTGTATGCTCGTGGGATGGTGCCCTGGAATGGGAAGGAGCGAGGTTCCCCGGGGGTCTCCAGGGGCGCTCTGCGTGCCCTGGGGTCGGTGAGAGAATTTCCCAGAGTCCCCGATGCACATCACTCATTGTGATAGCCAGACCCAGATTTCACAGATATTATTTAAGACAAAACTGAGGTTTTTATTTTTTTTTTAAATTTATCTTTATTGTTGAAAGTATTACAGAGGTCCCCTCCCTCCCCCTACCCCTCCCCAGGTCTTCACCCCACTGTTGTCTGTGTCCATGGTTATGCATATCTGTATATAAGTTCTTTGGTTAATCTTTTCTTGCCTGCCCCCCCACCCCTTTCCTCTGAGATTCATCAGTCTCTCCGATGCTTCTATGTCTATTTTGTTCGTCAGTTTGTTTGGTTCATTAGATTCCACATGCGAGTGAGATCATGTGATGCTTGTCTTTCTCTGACTGGCTTATTTCACTTAGCATGATACTCTCCAGGTCCCTCCATGCTGTCTCAAAGGGTAAGAGGTCCTTCTCTTTTACTGCTGCATAGTATTCCATGGAGTAAACGTACCACAGCTTTTTTATCCACTCGTCTACTGATGAGCACTCAGGCTGTTTCCAGATCTTAGCTATTGTATATTGTGCTGCTATGAACATAGGGGTGCATACCTTCTTTCTGATTGGTGTTTCGGGGTTCTTAGGACATCGTGTTAGAAGTGGGGTTGCTGGGTCAAAAGGCAGTTCCATTTTTAATTTTTTGAGGAAACTCCACACTGTTTTCCACAGTGGCTGGGCCAGTCTGCATCCCCACCAGCAGTGCACTGGGGTTCCCTTTTGTCCACATCCTCGCCAGCACTTGTTGCTTGTTGAGCTAACGATGGTAGCCATTCTGGCAGGTGGGGGGTGGTATCTCATTGTCCTTTTAATTGGAAGGTTTTTAAAGAAAGAGATTAAATAAGCACAGACAGGACAGAAGTCAGGGTGATACAACTCAGGGTGACTGGGGGGCTGTGACGGGCTGGTGGGCCCAAATGACTCGGCCACACCTGAGCTCTCCGAGGGGGTTTTCCCCCCACATGGATGGGGCTCCCCGGCCGGCCGTGCTTTCATCCTTCCCCAAGAGGTCAGGGCCACCTGTGGTCACTGAAGGAACGGCTGTCCCCTTGTCCAGCCCCCACCCTGTGACCTGGCTCCCAGGGGCCCCGGGTTCGAGGGCTGAGCCTGAGCCCAGCTGGCCGGAGCGCCTAACAGGGAGCATCTCCTTCAGGCCTCACCACCTGCCTGTCCTGAGACCACCCCTGCAGCTGGTGAGGACACTGAGGCCTGGAGGGCCAGTCCCTCTCCCCAGGCCGCCAGCCAGCAGGTGACAGGGCCACACGCCACTAGGGCCGTCTGCCCCAGGAGCCCGCTGTTCCATATGAACTTGGGGCCAGAGGCTTATCTTGGTTTTCCAGGTTGGGGTAAGGGCAGGGCAGAGTGAGGACTCAGTTTCCCCTCCTGCTCTTACACACGCTAAAGGGGGCTCTCGGCTAATGGAAAGAAATCCCCGGAGCCAACTCGATGGGGCTGGGGGCTATTGTGCCATCCAGGTGGCTCTGAGCGGGCCAGTCTGGTCTTGAGGGCCCTGGAGCACATGCCCCAAAGGCATGTGAGTGTCCCCTCTGGGCAAACATTGGGCTTAGTGCTGGGGGTCACCTAAGGATGATGGGGTCCCTACCCAGAGCCTCCCTGGGGCTCACGGCACAGGGTCGGGATGCAGATTCTGCACCCCAGCAAGGAGGCCTTGGCTACATGTCACTTCCTGGATGGTCTTTCAGGGCGTCTAATCTCCTCGTAACCAAAAGTGAGGAGGTGGCTGTGCAGGGCTCGTCTTGCAGCTCCACAATGCCGCCAGACACTGACCTCTCTGACCTCCTTCTCACCCAGCCTGTGCCTCCTCTTAGTCACAATGAGGCTGCTCCAGCCCTGGCATCACCTCCACTCTCCAGGCGGGAGGAAGGGATGGGGCCAAGGGGAAGGAGACCATGCCGGTGGAGGCAGCCCCTCTTTGAAGGGGCTTTCCAGAGACCTGCCCACATCCTCTGCTTGCATGTCACTGGTCAGACCACTTCACGTGGGCCCTCCTATCTGCAGGGAAACGGGGACATGGGCGCACTGTCACTCCCAGCAAAGGCAGGCTGGTGGGTAGGGAAGGAGCTGGCCCTTGAGGTACTGGCGACCCCGTCAAATGAATCAGCAAGTTTTGTCCCGCCCACAGGAGCTCCATTCACTGAACAAATTTGGGTTGAGCACCTACGATGTGCCCCGTGTTCCTGGTGTAGAGACACTGGAGTGGGCACACCAGCCAGCCCCACGCCCCGGCGGCCCTGTCCTTCCAGGGGGAACTGTACCCAGGAAGGAGGCTGCACGGGGCTTGCCTGTCATGGGGACGTGCCAGCCCTCTGGCTGGGAAAGGGGGGGCCTTGCTGAGTCACCCTGCAGGCCCGGCCGCCTGCCTGCCCCCCCACACGCGGGCACGAGGGCCAACTCCAGGGCCAGGGCGGTGCCTTCCCCTGGGAGGGGCCCCTTGGCAGGAGCCAGGGATTTTCCGAGGAAAGCCCTTGTTCCCAGAGCCGGCAGGGAGCGGTACCCACACCTCAAAATGGGGCCACCCCTTCATCAGGGCGTGGTGTGGCCGTGGACATTTCTTGGGCAGGGTGTGGTCACCCTTTAGTCAGCAGCAGAAGCAAAGTCACTGGCCCAAAGTTCAAAATAAGAGCTTTGCTAGGAGACTTCTGATGGCTGCGGTGCCCCCAAGGGGTGAACCGAGCTGCAGACGCACAGCGCTCCCCCTGCCCCTGGGACTGTCCCGGGGCCTCTCGGCACCCTCCTAGCAGAGCTGGGGCCCGCCCTCCGCACCCTAATGGGAGTAAATGTGTGAGGATGCGGACACCCAGGAGGGAGTGGGAAGAGCGTGGAGCCTGCGCCCGCAGTGTGTCCTCGGGGCTGGGATTCGCAGGTGGCCTCACCCCTGGGGCAGGACAGGGTCTCCCCTGCTGAGTTAGGGTCTTTGAGGAAAAGGAAACGGAACCCAGACAGACAGACAGACTGTGCCACATGGATCAGCCTTGTCATCCCAGCCAGCCGCCCCCGCCCCCATCTCCCAGGCAACCTCCAGCCGAGTTGTGTGGGACGTTCCAGTCCAACAGTGGGGTGTGGTAAGAAGAGGGGCTCACTCTTGGGAACAAGCCTGAGGGTGTCGGTGAACCAAGGAGGTTGAGAGAAGGGACCCAATCTGACTATCCAGCCAGGCCTGCAGCAGCGCCCACCCCAGATCGGACCGCCCACACTGCCCGCGCCCCCCCCCATCTCCCAGGCAACCTCCAGCCCGAGTTGTGTGGGACGTTCCAGTCCAACAGTGGGGTGTGGCAAGAAGAGGGGTTCGCTCTTGGGGACAAGCCTGAGGGTGTTGGTGAACCAAGGAGGTTGAGCGAAGGGACCCAATCTGACTGTCCAGCCAGGCCTGCAGCAGCGCCCACCCCAGATCAGACCACCCACACGCCACCCGCCTCCTTTAAACACCGCTCCACCCGAGTGTCTCTGCTTCTGCTCATCACCAGGTTGAGGGGAGGAGCCCCTGCCCGGCAGTCAGCCTGGTGAACCCCACTTGTGTGCTGGGTGACCTGGCCTGGTGGCCGGACCGCTCAGCCTCTTCTGGAAACCAGTCCTTTGTTCGTGTCTGTGGACTTAATGCCATAGAGCCCCTGGCATGTGTGGGTGACTGGGTGGAGGGAGGGCTGGCTGGGAGCACAGGGGGAGGTCCGGGAGACCCAGGTGGCCCAGCCAAGGTGTCCCTCCTCCTCTGCAGATCGCGGTCACCTTCGCCATCGTCCTTGGGGTCATCATCTACAGAATCTCCACAGCCGCCGCCTTAGCCATGAACTCCTCCCCCTCCGTGCGGTCCAACATTCGGGTCACGGTCACGGCCACTGCAGTCATCATCAACCTGGTGGTCATCATCCTGCTGGACGAGGTCTACGGCTGCGTAGCCCGGTGGCTCACCAAGATCGGTGAGCGCTCGTGTCCGGGACCGCGGCCCGGCCCGCCCTGGAGCCAGGCAGCCCACGTCCCCTGAGAGCCGCGTGGAGCGGTCAGCCGGCCACTCAGCAGCCTGCGTCTCGCTCCCTCCAGAGGTCCCCAAGACCGAGAAGAGCTTCGAGGAGAGGCTGATCTTCAAGGCTTTCCTGCTGAAGTTCGTCAACTCCTACACCCCCATCTTTTACGTGGCTTTCTTCAAAGGCCGGTAGGGACCTCCTCAGCCACTGAAACTCACTGCCTTTCCCCCACTCACTGCTGCCAGGCCCGTGGGAGGCTCCCCTCCCTGTGTCTGCAGACGGGGGGCACCATGGCCCAGGACAGAGCAGTCAGGATGGTTCTCACTGCCGCCCAGTTCTAGTGCCTGTGGGGGTGCCAGGCAGCAGGGACCCTGAACATTAGGGACTCCAGGCAGCAGGAACCCTGGACCATGGAGACCCCAGACAGCAGGGACCCTGGACAGTGGGGACCCCAGATAATAAGGACCCCAGGCAGCGAGCGCCAGGTGCCTCCACAGTGGGTCAAGATGACTCGAGGGCGAGGGCCCTGGGAGAAGGTGTAAGAAGTGCCGCTACTGACCAGCTCCATGTGCCAGGCTGGTGGCAGGGTGAGCCCGTGTCTGGACCCTCTGGAGCCATCCTGGCCCGTGACCCCCTCCACCAGACTCCCTACCACCCCTCCTGCTGGGGCTGGCAGGTCTGATCCCAAGACCCCTCCCAAAGGCTCCTCCTCAGCAGCCTATCATTTACAAGACCCTTGGGGTCCTCCCACCCTCGGGTCCCAGAGCCCAGCCGAGGGGTCCAGGCCCCCCGAGAGCATACATGACAATGGAGCAGGCCCCCAGCCTCACATCCCACAGGAAGCTGAGAGGCAGCCTCAGGGACCACCACACCCCAGCCTCCAAGGTCCCTGGGGTCCCGGGGCCCTGCCATGGTGGGTGACAGCTTGGCCTTCGTCCCCTCCTGGGCCCCCCGCTGCCGTCCCGCCTCAGCCACTTGGTTTCCTGTTACGTTTCTTACCCCGTGTGGGTTTGGGAATCACAGGAACACTGGACCAACAGAAAAGCCCCCGGTCATTTTTTAGCCAGTGGAACAGGCAGAGAGAGGCCTATATAACACACTCCGGGCTGTGCCTTCGGGGATCTCAGCTCGCCCCTCCCCCACGGGTCCCCCAAGCTGGGTCTCTGCTCTCTAACTGCCTCCCAACTGTTACAGGTTCGTGGGGCGCCCCGGCGACTACGTGTACATCTTCCGATCCTTCCGCATGGAAGAGGTAATGAGCTTGCAAGCCTCCCGGGCCCCATCACATTTCCATTCTGTCCACTCAGCGCCCGGCCGATTCCTTATCGGGGGGCGGTCTCCTTCCTTCCCGTGGGAGCCCCTCTCTCCCGGGTGGTGGCCGGGCTCTGATAGTCTGAGGTGTGTCCATACAGGATCACCCCAAAAGGAGCATCTCTTCGTAGTCGGGGAAACCCAACAAGGACACCGATTTTTTTTTCCTTTTTCTATTAGACCGAGGATCTTCTACTCTTTGGTTAAGATGAGGGGAAAACTAAACTCGGCTACCTTTCATTTTACTTTAACATCGAAATGCCCACTTCTCTTCCCCCCAAACACGATGCTGGTGACCCTGGGCCACCGCGGGTCTGGTCAGGGCGCCCGCTGTCCTCTGCCGCCGAGTCCCAGCCCCAGACCAAGCTGGGGCTTCTGAGCCGGTGGGTTGTTCAGGTCTCGGGGGACCAGGTCAGCATTTCCAACCCCCAGAATAATTCCACTTGACGGAAAATAAGGGGGAGTGTCTTCCTGATGAAGAGCCTGTGGAGGGGAAGGTTGGGGTGGGCATCAGGCACAGGGCAATCTGGCTGCCCAGGGCACAGCCTAGAGGTTCAGCCCCTTGAGTGCCAGCCTCTGAACATCCCGACACAGGCCTCACCCACAGGAAGAGATGTTTGCCAAAAGCCCAGCCAGGGCTTTCCTGGACGTGCCCTTCACATAGACGGCGCCCTGTCAAACTCCTCAATGTCTGGAGAAGTCGGTGACATGCCTTCTTAGAATAGAATACAGCAAAGACGTCATCTTTTTCTTTTTCTTTTTTAGAGAGAGTGGAAAGGAGGGGGAGAGACGGAGAGAGAAAAACATCAATGTGAGAGAGAGGCATTCATTGGTTGCCTCCCACATGTGCCCCGACCAGGGCCGGGGACCAAGCCAGCAACTGAGGTGCATGCCCTCGACCAGACTCAAACCCGGACACTTCAGTCCATGAGCTAATGCTCCATCAACTGAGACAAACCAGCTACAGCCATCATCATTTTTTTTTTTTAATGAAATGACGGCTCTGCAAGAAAAACTTTTGGGTAACAATATAAAGAGATTTGCTAGGGACTCAAAGAGGAGTCATCTGTACTCATGGGGTCTCCTAGTGTGTCCTGAGTTCTCTTTGTTCAGATGAGTTAAGTTCTCACCCATCATACCAGCCTCCAGCCTAAGGCCACACAAGCCCCATAAGGACAGGGGCATTAGGTGGCTGGCTGTCTCACCGTGGGGCTTCCCAGCTGCAGGGACCCCAGGCTGCCGTGCCCGTGCCTGTGGCCATGCAGGGTCTGTGGACAGGCAGCCAGTGTAAGGGACAGGGCACTGGCCTTGGGGGAGGAGGGGAAGCTGAGATCATCCTCAGCGCTGCCCAGCCTGGCCGTGCATTCCCTCCCTGAGCCTGGTTCCAGCCCCAACGGCCTGCAGGCCGGACGCACTAGCTTCCGGGGGGCCGAACAGAATACCACAGATGGGAGACTCAAAACAACAGAAATTGCCCAGCTGGTGTGGCTCAGGGGTTGAACATCGACCTATGAGCCAGGAGGTCACAGTTTGATTCCTGGTCAGGGCACATGCCCCGGTTGTGGGCTGGATCCCCAGTAGGGGGTGTGCAGGAGGCAGCCGATCAATGATTCTCTCTCATCATTGATGTTTATCTCCCTCTCCTTTCCTCTCTGAAATCACTTAAAATATTTAAAAGAAAAACAAACAGAAATGGATCCCCTCGCAGTTCTGGAGGCCAGATGTCCAAAACCAGGGTGTCAGCAGGGCTGCGCTCCTTCCAAAGGCTGGAGGGGGCTCTGCCTGGCCTCTCCCGGCTTCCATGGCCGCGGGCAGTCCTTGGCGCTCCCTTGCATATAAACGCAGCACTCCGACCTCTGCCTCCCTCCGGCTTCACTCGCCTCCTCTGCAGGTCTGTGTTCTCTTCTTGTAAGGACACCCGTCATTGGACAGGAGCCCACTGTGCTCCCGTGTGACCTCATTCTAACTTGGTCACGTCTACAAAGACCCTATTTCTAAATAAGGTCCCCTTCTGAGGTTCTGGGATTAGGACGTGGACCTAGCTTTGTGGAGGACACAATTCAGCCCACCCCACGAGGGCCGAGCTCCCCTCCCTGGGGCCGGTCCTCTCTCCCGTGCCCTCGGGATGGGGAGGGATCTCACGTGCCCTCCCTCCACCTGCAGTGCGCCCCGGGCGGCTGCCTGATGGAGCTCTGCATCCAGCTCAGCATCATCATGCTGGGCAAGCAGCTCATCCAGAACAACCTGTTCGAGATCGGCATCCCGTGAGTACTGCCGGGCCAGGGGGCGGGATGATGCCGGGCCTGGGCCAGGACGGGGTGGGGGGCGTGGGGATGCCAGACAGGGAGGTGGTGAGGACAGAGGGGGGGGACCGGACGGAAGCCACCCCACAGGGAACGAGGAGGAGGCCGGGGACTCTGCTCCCCGACTGGCTGAGGATGCAGAGTACCGACAGGTCCTGTGGAGGCTGTGCCTGCTTACCCAGCATCCTTCAGGAACCGTGGCCCGGTCCCTTCTCAAGGCGCCATGATCTGCCTTCTCTTTCCGCCCTCCCAGGGTCCGCTTAGGCACAGCCAGACCCTCTGCACCTTCAGGGCCTCCCCGCGGTTTTAGGTGGCCCTTGCCCTCCCTGCGCCTCTGCTTCCTTAGACCCCTGCCTCGGGGGAAAAGGGCGAAGAGGCCATGGACAGAGCAGTCCCGGCCAGTGCGGCCGCTCAGGGTGTGACGTGACGGCTCAGGGAATTAGGAGCACGGCTGGCGGTGCAGACTCAGCCCCCAAAGCCCGCCCTCCTGGCAACCTGACCGAGTCCTGGCCTTGCTTTCAGGAAGATGAAGAAGTTCATCCGCTACCTGCGGCTGAAGCGCCAGAGCCCCGCCGACCACGACGAGCACATGAAGAGGAAGCAGCGATACGAGGCGGACTTCACGCTGGAGCCGTTCGGGGGCCTCACCCCAGAGTACATGGAGATGAGTGAGCACGGCGGGCTCGGAGGGAGGCGGGCCCCTGCTCACCAGGGACGGACAGCCCTCGTCACCTGCACTCGGGAGGGTGCCCGGGGGTGGCATGTAACTGTCAGAGGCGGAGCAAGGGACAGATGGAGGAGGTCAGGTGTGGCCACATGGCAACCACCCGGAGCCTCCCTGGCCCCGCCCCCCACCTGCCTCCCCCTACTCTGGCCACACAGGCCTCCCCACTGTCACCCAGACACAAGTGGCCACCTCCCTTGCACTAGCAGGGCCAGGAATGCTCTCCCCCTAATACTGGCACGACTCCCTCTCTCCCTTCCCCAGGGCTCAGCACCGAGTGTCCACCCCAGAGGGTCTTCCTGACCACAGTGTTGAAAGGGGGCGGCCCCTTCCTGCCCAGCGGCTCCCCTCCACCCTCCCCGTACACGGCTCCCATCACCCTCTGACATGGTCAGCTCGCCCCGTCCCCTCCCTTTCCTGGCAGGCCCCCTGCACCTAGAACAGGCCCAGGTGGACAGTGGGCGCTCAGTGCGTGTTCGCTGAATGAACGGATGAGGGAAGGAGGCCTCCGAGGGGAGTGTCCCCTGGCCACCACGGACAGGTTATTTAAGACGTGGGTTCCCTGGCCCATCCCTGGTCTGTGCGGGCTGAGACCCGGGGCTGTGGATTTTAAAACAAACCCCTGGCAAACTGCGCGGTGAGGGGTGCGGGGCAGGGCGACCTGGGGCGGAGCTTCCTGCTTTATGGCGAGGCTGCCCTGCGCGCCTGTTGGCCCAGCTGGTCCGTGTAAGTCCCGCCCGGCTTCCCAGCGGTGCAAGGAGCACCGCGCCATTGACTCAGAAGGAAAAGAATCTGGAGGCTTGGAATAAAAGGAAACAGTGTTGTGTTTGGAGGACGTTCTCTATTTCCTCCTGGAATAACATCCAAGCTGAACCAGAGGCTATTCCACCCAGCATGGGATGTGGGAGGAGGCCTCCCCTGCCTGCCCCACCCCGGGGGCGGTGGAGAGAGGCAGCCTCTGATGGGCTAAGAGAGGAGGTCGTTTCTCAGACGTTCATTTCTATGATGGCTGGAGGTTGAGTCCCACGTTCCCCTGGATTTGATGAAATTCGGTCCTGGGACAGGCTCCTCCTGCCCACCCAGGGAGCGCCCCGCTCCCCGTGCCCCGCGCCGCTCTGGGACGCTGGGATTGACTTATGGACCAGCTGGGTCAACAGGCGTGCAGGGCAGGCTCGCCATAAAGCAGGAAGCTCCGCCCGAGGTCGCCCTGCCCGGCACCGCTTGCCCGGGGGTTTGTTTTAAAATCCACAGTCCCAGGCCTCGCCTGGCTCAGACCAGGGATGGGCCAGGGAACCCGCCTTTTAAATAAGCTGTCGGTGGTGGCCACGGGCAGCCCCCAATGGAGCTCTCTGCAGGAGTCTTCAGACCTTCCCCTCATCCATTCATCCAGGGGGCACTCTGCACCCCATGACTGTCACCCTGCCACACCCGCTGCCTGTCTCCCCCTCGAGGCCAACTCACTGGGCACCCAGAGCACACGGGTGCCCGTACACAGCAAGAAAAGGCCCCGCTGAGAATGTCCCGCCCCCGCCCCCGCCCCATCGAGGATCCAGCTGCCCTCCTGGCCCCATTCCTGGCCCAACAGTGCAAGACGAGTGGGGGAACCCACAGCCTCAGCCTCAGCAGCCCCTGGCCCCACGCTGAGCTTATCCAAGGGCCCCGTCACCCCCAGAGCCTTTAGACCGGACCAGCGTACGGCCCAGAGGCCACATGGAGCCCCCACCGACGGTGCGGACAGTGGCCACACTCAGCTGCCAGGCATCTGACACCGCGACACCCTGTCAGCTCCTTGTTCACTGCCTGGCACCGAGCGCCTTGGCCGGGTCCTGTTGTGCAGCCCCCGAACCAGCAGCCCCACTCGCTTCCGCTCAGCGACCTTTTCCTGTCCCCTCCGGGTCGCCGGCCCTGTGCTGGCTGCAGTGTCCCCAGCGAAGAAACCACAGAGGCGGCCTGTCCGTGATGAGGATGAGGAGGGAGAGGGAGGGGCCTGAGGCAGGGGGACATCATCCTGCACACTGGCCCCTGCCCGGCTCCCCGAGGCCCGATGGAAGGGGACGTTAAAGGCTTTTGGAGATGCTGGCAGGCCCCCCAAGTGCAGGAACCTCTGGCCGATGGGAGCGTAAGGGCCCATGCGAGGCCCTTCTAGCCCAGGCACGATGGCCGAGGCTGGGCCCTGATACTCATGGGGCCTTTTTCCCATTATTGATTTTCTCTTTTTACTTTTCAATGACAGTTTACATTCAAGATAATTTTGTATTCTTTTTCAAGATTAAACATGTGATAAATGAGTACTTATGGACCAGCTGGGCCCGTTGTTCAAGAATCACACTCCCCCCCCCCCCCAAAAAAAAAGGAATCACACTCCCGGGTCACCTTCTTCCTCTGGAGGCAGGGCACCAGCCAGAACCCCAGTGGTCAGCTCCCGGGGCTCCTGGGCGGTGGGCACCCCCTCCCGTGTGGGAGGCTGATGGCTCCCTCTCTCTGCAGTCATCCAGTTTGGCTTCGTCACCCTGTTCGTGGCATCCTTCCCCCTCGCCCCGCTGTTCGCGCTGCTGAATAACATCATCGAGATCCGCCTGGACGCCAAAAAGTTCGTCACCGAGCTGCGCAGGCCGGTGGCCGTCAGGGCCAAAGACATCGGTGAGTGACCCACCGGCGGGTTGTGAGCGAGCACGTGCTGGGTTTGGGGGAGGGAACCCGCTCTGCCCAAGCGAGAGTCAGAGCCAGCAAAGTGGGGCCAGGCAGGGGGTCCCCACAGGCTGCTCACTGCGCCTTGCCTGGATGGAGACTCAGAGCCTCGGGGCGGGGTGATGTGCAACCCAAGGCTCCCCACTCCCCCCACCCGCCGACCTCCTAACTCCTGAGATGTATTGGCCACGGGAGTTAGTCCAGACACGTCTCACCACCCACCGCCCCAGGTCCTCCGGCTGCACTTCCCTTCGATGGTCCTCAACTTCCCCTCCCCACGAGGGACATTGTGTGCACCCCCAGAGCACAGAGCTAGACCAGTGGGGAAGCTCATGGTAGCTGCTTAACAAGGGCCTTCCTACGTAGGGTATCATTTAATCATTTGATGTTCATAAGAAAGAAAGAAAAGGAGGGGAAACGCCCCCTCCCCCTGATGAAGGGCTGGATGGCAGTGTGGCAGGACACCCCAGGGCCTGCCTTCCTTCCTGGGGGATCACTTTATCTTTCACAGCCAAGACATGATATTGCTAAATATGGGGGCTCCACCAGCCCTACCAGGAGCTCCTCTGTCCTCTTGGGCCATCCCATCCCTGTCCTTGGCCGTGCCTTGGCCTCTGCTGGCCGATGGACCCGCCCATGGTAGCCAGACCCACACCCATCCCCACCATCCACCTCCGAGATGGCGTGGACTCCATCACAAATGCGGTCTCTTAGGTTGAACTGTATGAAATCGCCATCTTCATGGCTCCAACATGGTCGCCTATCGGTGATTTTGTCCGGTTCCCATGCAACCCCACATTGGAGCTGTGGGATCCGTGGCGAGACCTGCGGGCCCGGCTTTGAGAGGAGCCTGGACACTTGGGCTTTCCTCAGGGAGGGACATCAGAGCCAGGACTCGAGTGTAGCAGCCATCCCCCTGCGTTCTGACACGTTAGCTTGCCCCCATCACAGACCACCAGCAAGGACTCAGAACAGACGCCCTCCCTACCCAACTTTTCGGTAGGATTCCATGTGGGGTTTTTTTTAAATGTATTTTTATTGAGTTCAGAGAGGAAGGGAGAAGGAAGGAGAGATAGAAACATCAATGATGAGAGAGAATCATTGATCGGCTGCCTCCTGCACACCCCCTACTGGGAATCAAGCCCGCAATCCCAGGCATGTGCCCTGACTAGGAATCGAACAGTGACCTCCTGGTTCATAGGTTGACGCTCAACCAGTGAACCACACCGGCCGGGCTTGTGTGCAATTTTAAACAGCTGTTAAGGCCCTTGAACTGGCTGGCTCTCTGAGTCCCTTCTGGTCTGTGATTCTGCCTCATCCTCGCCTCTCTCCCCCCCCCCCCACCCCCGTCCTCCCATCACATGGGTCGGAGCTCAGCGCACGTGAAGGCCCCAGAGTCAATGTTTCGGTCCCTGTGGACCAGGAGGCCACGTCCTCGAGTTAGAGCAGCTGGGTTTCCATCTCACACGTTAAATGTAAGAAGCCGGTCTTTGCTCATGGGCCACCCAAACCCAGGCG